CCTTGTTCTGGGTTTTTAATACAACGCTATACCAGCTTTATTTTAGTGGTGCGACACGTCATGTATTAGGTTAGCGCACAGGATTTAAGTAATCAGTAGTCGGTAACTTGACTATAGTTTGAATTGTTTGAGATCGGAACTGTATGAACATCGTATCGTATCGTCGATGCTCAATATAATTTAAAACGTCGTGCGAAAAGGAGTGTCACGGTATCTCTCTATATTTATTACAAAAAAAGGTAAGAAATATTTTCTTTATTTAAAAAAAAATTGGACTTAAAAGGCGCAACGGTTGTTGCGAATTATTATTTCCAATGTATATTTACCGAGTGAAATTATTTCGTAGTAGTATATAGATATAAATATGTGAGATTTTACAAGACCCGGCAAACATTTCTCGGTTTCAATTCTGTGTCATAAAGTAGTGTGAGCTTGGAGAATGGGTTTAAATGAAGATAATTGCAAAAAAGAAGTAATAGAGAAGAAAAATGTTAAAAATGTATGTGTACATTTCCAACTGGTTTCTTTTACATTCTTCGTGCCATTTTGCTGTTATAATCTTGTTGTTGTTGTGGAAATGTTGCTGCTTGTATGACGCTGCTGCTATTGTTGAGAAGAGATTTTGCTAGCTGCTGGCTGGATGGATATTGTTGCTACAATTCCAAGTGGAGAAATTTTTAACAGCAAATCTTCTCGTACAGCAGATTCCAATTAGATAGACAGTAACAGTTAGACTTGTAACGTTTTTTTCTTTTTGGTTGTTTGTATGTGTGCTGTGGTCCGAAAAGTGATTTTTGTGCATCCGCAAAATGTCTATGACTAGTAAAAAACACAGATGCAGCATTCGCTGTCTACTGTTAGGATGACATACGTACATACATACAAAAGAAAATCCGAGATATGGATTCTAACAAGTATTTTGCCATGGCATACCAATAGACGACGCTCAGTAAGAAATGAACAAATAGATGTGGGCCGGCTAGTCAGTCAATGGTAGACAACAACAGGCGTATTTCGTTGGAAGTAGAATAAAAGGAACGTTATTCGTATCCATTACATACACCTGTTTCAATAATATATATTTTTTTGTTTTACTTCGCAATGGGCGTGGTTGTGCAAAATAAAACTCCATTATCATTTGAGGTCTTTAATCTGGAAGACGACAAATGAATAAAGATATGAAGAAGAACTTACAAAACAAAACGACTTGGAGGGAAATCAGTCTGAATCATCAATAATATCGCAACCATTAAATCTAAATGTATACAGATGTATCACCACCACGTATGTATGTACATATTTATGTTTGTATTTACATGCATACAGCATGATGTATGCGGACAAATAACGTTTGCGATAAAAAAAAAGTATTTAGTTCGATTTTATTAATCACAGGGAGAGTCGACGTCAGTGTCCAATGCATTCTATATATGGTTTAAAATTGGACATTGTTTGCGGTGATGGAGGTGGGAGGCGGGGACGCGGTGGTGGTGATTGTTAACAGAAATTAGTCACTGCAATTAAGACAAAGAAATATTTTTTCCGTTAAATTCATGACGGACGTCTGGCTAGTAAAAGGCAACAGCGAAGAATATATCGGGGGTGGAGATCGATGCACAACTTACCGGCAATGTGGCTGTATTGTATGTATGTACCTATACTTCAGCGGCATACAAGCACATGCAGTTGCCCAACAAAACACCCTGTCTAAGGAAATGTACAACAACAAATGCAATGCTTGTTAAAACATTTTTGTTGTGCATGGGCAAATTTGCATAAAAATATTTAAAAATTCAAATCGTGTACATAGAATGTTTAATATATCTTGTCTTTATTTTATTTCACTTCATTTCCGAAGTTTTCAACGTTGATGTATTTTTACAACGGATGTATACTTCTGATGATTTGTGAGTAGTTGTAGCTAACAACCGATAGCTTGTTTAAAAACTAGGAAGTGGAAGTAATAAATAATGGTGAACATTTTTATATCTACTTATCCATTTCTTTTAATTTTTCCAAAATAATAATTTTTATCAGAATGCAACGGAGACACAAAAATATTTTTTTTTATAATTTTAAAGTTGTTTTTGCCAGCACAGGGAAATCTCTATTTTTTAGATAGTACGAGTAACCCAATTATTTTCTTATGGACTACACGTAAGGAGATTATAGAACAACATGTAATAGTCATACTCTTATTCATCGTTATTTTTAGACGCTTCTTATTACTGCAATTGCGCTTCGTAAGTTAAATGAATCAATTGTATATTTAATCAATTGCTAAATAATATAGCCATTGATTAGATAAACATGTGTACCCAGTTGATATTCAAAATTCTCAACAACATAAAAGTCCAACATTGCATTTGCTACCTAAACAGGTAAATAATAAAGGAAGGCTATTTTTTTTGCATTTGGGCGAAGCTAATGAACAAAGACTTTTCTGGATGTGTCTTCATATTCGATAAGAAATACTGATATCAATATTTGTAGAAATTTGTCAACTGTATGGGGATTAAAGAGGAGAATTCGGGTCGGGTCGTGTTCTTTGTCATTGTGGGAATGATTTGAGGGTATATTGAGAATGGTCACGAATGTCGTAAATAGTTCGCATATTTGGTTTTCTTGTGTATTTTCATTAATTTCTGAAACGGTGTTCAGATTATTTCAGTGATATTATAACCCGATGCTATGAGGGTGGAAGTACATAAAAAGCTTGAAGTCTTGGCTAGGCATATTAATGTCAAATTATAAGGGGAAATGACGGCAGGATTTTAGTGCGGCTCTGTTATCCCTTTATGAAATGTCACAAAATATGCCTAGCCATGACTTCAAGCTTCTGATGTACTTACTCCACTTATTTGCGGAATTTTAAAGAAATATATTCCCTGCTGGCTTTTAAACACTAAAATATGTTTTTAGATTTGTGACGTCATTGACATTTTTCACATTCGAAAAGAAAAAAATCGGAATGCATAATTCACGGGGAATCTATTCGTATGTAATTTTTCACGTTTCTCCTGCTACGAACTAATTATTCTCGAGACAAAAGTCCGTCTTAATCCAAATTAAATTTCTAAATATAGTTTATTTAACTTGGAATCGAATTTTAAAAGTCATTTACATATAGAACCAACATATAGAAGATTTCAAAGTTTTGACCAATAAATGTTGTATTAAATTTAAAAAATGTTTCGAGAATGCTAAATTTGTTTATTATAACAAAGAATAAATTTTGTCATTCCAATCACCGTGTGAGTCGTCTTCTTAAATAATAAAAGATAAAGAGTCGTTGACATTTTAGGAAAGATTGATTTTTTCGGTTCTTCATTTTGTTGTTTCCGATTTCTAATTTCAAAGAGTTTGGATATGGGTCTGAAGTTGTTGTTTAAATGACCATGGCTATATAAAATAGAACAATGAAAAAGAGTGTCATTGATATATTTCATTTGTTGGCGTATCATTATGATTAATTTGAAAATTATGCCTTAAAACCACAATATATTTTTAAATATTGTGTTTTTGTTTGATCTAGTTTTCTTTATTAGATTTGAGAACACTGTTATTAGTCACATAACATATGATTTATTTGACGAAAAAAATCCCATTTAGATATGTAGGATAAAAACACATATGTTTGAAAACAATAGTTAATATTTTTTTATGTACTACTCCATTTTTGTAAATATAAAAAAAATTAATATGAATAATCGCTCATTTCACTTTAGAACATTTCATCAAGAAAGTGCTGTAGCAAATAACCAACAGCAACATCTCGCGTCCTTGTTTAAATTTCATTTACAGAACGTTATTATGTTGATTTTTAGCCGTTGGGCGGTGGTTATGGTCACAACATCAACCCCATTCTGTTTGTGTTCCCTTGACATTGGTCGCTGTGGCGTTTCTGCGACCGGCAATGTTGTTGCAACATTCACTATAAATATGTATGTACAAATATGTATGGGTATACATGGGCAGTTGTATTATCTACCTCAGTGGCTTGTTGTGTCTACATACACTGTATATAAGAGAATTTTTACCGGCACATATTAAGAATGCATAAAGCAATACTTTCCATTTTTCAACACTCTTCATTTATTATGCGAAGGAGGTAATATATTGAATATCCGTTCGATGGTTTCAATCATTCTTTGTCCAAGTAACAAATGAGCGATAATCAATGTAAATATTCATTTTATTTATTATTGGGAAACAATATTGTTCTCTAATAACAATCCCAATATATAAATACCATTTAGTTGCAAATTTTAAATATTACTTTTGTAATGTTTTGAGGAGGAGATTCCCTAGTGGCATTGCGGGTGTGTAAGTGTGCTGGTTTGTTTAAGGCATGCTCCCTTATAAAGGGGGAGCAGTACTCTATTTCCTGTATACCTACATACAATACATAAATATTCATTCACTTTTATTCCTCCACACCCTCTTTGTTTCTTGAGTGCTCAATCGAAACTCCTTATTCCTAAAATAAACTGCCCTGTTGTGGAGGACTTGAGAACAATGTGTATTTAAAACAACAACAACAACACCAAAAGCCCAAGTCTTTCACATGTTCGTTATGTTTTTGTACATACCATGAATCATAATATTTTGTAGAAGATACATGGATTTCGACTGTATTTCAATTTTGTCATAACCGAAATGCATATTATGGGAGGTTGTTGGTTGTGGTGGCGAAGGCGGAGGAGGAGTAACGAGCTGTGACTATACATGCTCCCAGTATATATGTAGACGCACATATATATGTCTGTAATAATGTGTTTAAAGCACATTTGTGGTAGACAGTGGAGAAATATATGTAAAGGCGATAAGATGATTAAGAAAGTATGAAACATCGAAGTTTTTTTTTATTTTATTCTTTTTTGCTCTTTCTCCCCCGTTGTTGTCGCCGCCTCGGTGGTGTTTTTGTATTTACCATTACTTTCTTCTTTGTTTCATGTGGTTGAGTTGCTCATTCGTTGGTTGACTTCATACTTTGTTCATTCGCCGGTTAGCTGTTGTTTCGTTTAGATTTTTTGGATACATAAAATTCCACAAAAAGATTTTCAATAATAACGACGCGCCTCCCGCAATTGCAAAAAAAAAAAAAAACAAAAAAAATAATTTTGAAAAAATACACAAACCAGCAAATAAAACAATTAATAAATAAAGTAAGTGTTACAAATCGAAAAACTTTTTTTTTGGCGATCTGTATGGAGTTACTGTCAGGATTTATCATTTTAAGTCAAACACTAATAGTATTGTATGGAAATATTAAATTAACAGTGAATGAAAATGGAAATTTGATTCATTGCAATTTTTAAAAATTATCATTGAGTGCGATGTATTAAATATCATATTTGGAATTTATAAACAAATATTTGACCACCCTTTTATCTTTAGTGCCCACAAGCAGTTTATGTTGAATCACACCCTTGTATGTGTTCCTTAGTGTGGCAGACATGGGCGCGGCATTATTACCTTACTGATACCAATGCTGCTTTAAAGTGAAACCAAAGTGGACAAATGTTTTCAAAGATATAGCAAAGGTTAAGAGACAAGTGAAAATATAGCGTTTTGAAAGTCCAGATATGTTATTCATTGAATTTAAAAATGATGTCGGACACCACGCATCATTGTAATAAATCATGTCGTTTTCAGGTTCGAGTAAAAAATTATTCTAGCAATACGAAATGTTGCTAGATAACTTTTTTGATGTTCCATTGGCGGAAGTTCAAAAAAATAATAAAATTTCTTTTCCAAAAACTTTCAAAAAATAAATCTGTGAATGCAATTTGTTGAGTTTGAATTGTAAATATAAATTGAACAATATTAAGCCAACCAGTCATAATTTCAATGACTCCGATGACGATATTTCCTTATCGGATTGAATTAATAATATACGGCCTTTCGGGTTCTCTCTTTTACTTTTGAACCTAGTTTATTTCCGCTAAATTTTTAATTATTTTTTTATGTTGTAGCAACTAAAGAGGATATAACGTTTATAGGTACAAAGCTTCATAAGTTGTTAAGCTTTTTGAGATGCATTCTCAGCTCTTTATAAGAAATGACAGATTTCAGTAAATAGAAAAAAACAGAAACTTATCTTAAAAAGAAGTTACAACGCGTAGATTTCGCTAACTTTGTATTAATATATAAAACAACAGGAAGGCGATTCAAATGAAAAAAGATTTGGGACCTTTCTATATTATTGTGGTAATGATACGCTATATATATATATAATTTTTAGGTTTAACGTACAACATCATATTTTAATCATTAATGTTGGAAAAGCACTGTCGGCATTCAAATTTTCATCACAGAATCGAAAACTGTGGGTGCAGTATTTAACGACAAGTGTTGATGTCATACAGTAGACAGATTTTCACATTCCAATTATAATTGGCAAGTGGCGTGGGCATTGTTATTTTCTGCACGTTTACAGTTGTTTTTTGTTTAAATCAGAGCAATATTACACATCAATTAAATACCGAAGAATTGAAATTGATTTGATTGATCTAAACAAGCGTCCTTTTATTTATTAAATTTTCCCTTCATTTATCCACATTTTAATTGCATACACAACTGTTGTTTTCTTCGTTGTCACTCATCATTTGTAGCGAAAATCTAAACGTGTAAATATGTACCCATGATGATGTATATGAATGCATGACTATGCGAATTATCCAAAGAGGAGGATGGGGATAGGAGCAGGCATTTGCATTGTTGCGTTTAAGCGACAAAAACTATAAATAAACATTTCAGTTGTCACGGATTTGCTTTTGAAAATTTGCTCAATTGTCTTCTATTCAAACATTTCTTTTCAGTTATATAAATAAAAATGGCTGCACCTGCTCTTAAAGATCTTCCAAAAGTTGCTGAAAACCTCAAAAGCCAGCTTGAAAGCTTCGACACTGAAAAATTGAAGAATGCTAATACTCAGGAAAAAATCATTTTACCTACAGCCGAGGGTGAGTTACTATTATTTAGCCAAAATTTCAAAATATTAATTTTGTTCAATCTTCTTCTGTAGATGTAGCCGCTGAAAAGACTCAAAAGTCTTTGTTTGCTGGCATTGAGTCCTTTAATCCATCCAACTTGAAACATACCGAAACGCAAGAGAAGAATCCCTTGCCAGACAAAGAAGGTAAGAATTTCAAACTTACGACGTATTTGGATTGTATTTGTGTTTGACAATTTGTTTCTGACGCCGCCACTACACTGCCAATGCAAAGCAAAAATGCTCTTGACCTCAAAAAGTATGTGTTGTTATAACAAACAAGCAATATTTTAGGCACAAATCATTGAATTTTAAATCTAAACGAATCGAATGGGCATGTTTGGTGGAGCGTCAATGCTCTCGGCGAGTGTCGCCGCGATAGTCTACAATGACTAATTACAAATATTGAGTGAGGAGATATTACCATATTAAGTGTTGGCTGGTAAATATCTCGTAAATAAATGCCAAATTTGGCAAGAAACACAACGACTGTAGCCGTTGTTTTTGTTGTCGAATGTAGTTGTTATTTCCATTAAAAAAACAACCATAAACGAATGGTGTCTGTTCCTTTAATGGCAAAATTTTCTATTTCATTCGACATGTTATTATTATTGTTCAAGCACTCATACATACACACATCATATTTTAGTGCATTTTTGTTTTGAAACATAAGATTTCTAATTCGACCTCTTCTTTTTTTTAGCCATCGAAAAAGAAAAGGAGAAGAACGATTTCATTGCAGGCATTGAGAATTTCGATTCCAAAAAGCTGAAACATACCGAGACATGTGAGAAGAATCCCTTGCCAACCAAGGAGATCATCGAGGAAGAAAAGAGAGGTTAAGTCACCAACGTCGTCTCCATCATTAATTCGTCATATCTGCGCTTGCGTAAATGATGATTGCCGCAGCGCAGGTGCTGTAGCAAAACTCAACGGCCGTTCCAGTAGCACTTCACCACTCACACTGCAGTACTGGATGACGTATTTTTACTCATTCCTAATATCTAATATTACTGAAAGACATACTTTACTTTGTAAAAGCATTTATAATTTGCGTACATACACATATTTATATATCGAAAAACAAATAACATTTTCATACAAAATTTTATAAAAAAAACAGCATGTCTTTTTCTCATTGTGTCCACCCTCATCTTTTCACTGTTAAAGATGTAGCTTTTGTCTGCTTGCTAGTGTTTGCATGGAGAGCGACCATAAATCGCCACTGATGTTTATTGCAATATGTACGTGACTTCAATTTCAATTCACGTTAATGATACATTGTCAACTCCTCCATGCCATTCTTGGACACCAATCACAAATATGGCTGCCTCATGTCATGTTCTAACCGCATGTTCCAAAGGGTAATCGTAGAATAAAAGACTGGACTTATTACATGCGAGGAGTAAAATACGATCGATGGGCCTGTTGAGATGCTTTTAATAAAATTTGTATTTTTACATAAAAAATATATTTGCGTTTTATTTTTTCTAATACGACTTTGAAATGGTAAAATTGAAATTTCACTGCCAAATTGTGTTGTGTCTTAATATGAACACTTCATAAAAACTGTTTTTGTACACATTCGGAATGAGATTCTGTAACCCTATAAATGCAGGAATTTCCATAATTTTATTTGTCAGATCTTAAATAACTATATGTAATCGATGTTGGCAATGTACGGTCTACTAGACAACAACATCACTGCCTCAGAACCTTAATCCATTTACAACACAAGACAAGATGGCGAACTATGAAACTGAACTTAAGGGCAGGCAATTTATAGATCGTTTGTGCGTTGCAACACCACATCATCTGAGTTGTACACTGCCAAATTGGTTATAGTCGAAAATCAGCGAAAAAGTTTAACCGCAATATTTTACAAATAATTAAATTTTTTACTTTAATTCAACTTTCCTTTGGATTTTGATACTTTTTTAGACCCTCCACACGTCTAAACATTCGTCGGAGTTCTCATAAAGTTATATATTCATGACCGTCTATATGTTGAAATCACACAACTTTGGACGTAGAGTTTTGAAATTTGGCACAATAATTAGCATTGTGTTCTTGCAAATAAATCGGTCCATGTTTTCGAATAGCACACGCATTCGGTATTTTGATGATTTTAGGCACAATTCGCACATTTGGTATTTAGAGTCTTTTCTTTTTCTTTATAGGTTTACTCTTTCCTATAGACCCCGGATTCATTGAAAATGGTCTATATAGATTCTCATTTTGGTATGGTCCCCATATAACGGCTCCACCCACTTTCTGTAATTTGAAAACTTTAATAAGTGAAATATGCCAATTCTTGCAGACACATTTGAAAACATAAATCGAAATTTTGGACAGCAAGATAAGACAAATGCCTGAATTCGCCTCCTGTTACACTTTCTTTATTGAAATAATTATAGCAAGGTGTATCCATGGTACAAGAATTACAAGGTAGGGTAGAATGATTAAATTTGGAAAACATTTCAGGGTAAGTGTTAGAGTCTTGTAACTTCAAATTAATAATAACAAATGCAATGCGTTAATTTAGGAGAAAGTATATCTAAGAGAAAAAACATACATACAGGGAGCAGAAAGAAAATCGACTCAAAAGAGCTAAAGAGTTGCTCCGCTTGGCCGACAGTGGTGAACTGCCGAATTTGGTTTTCTCCGATGAGAAAACATTCGTTGTGCAGCAGTTTGTAAACTAACAAAATGGTCGTGTGTACTTGCCAAAGAGGTCAGCTGAAAATGTGCACCTTCGGTTGGCCACCAGAACTCAAACGCCGGCCATGGTGATAGTGTGGGTCGCCATATGGTCACTCTCCGCTCGTATTAATTATTAGCGAATTATTATCGCGAAAATATTCTGGAGGGTGTATTAAAGCCTTGGGCACGCAAACATTTTGGCCGCAGACCTTGGACATTCCAACAGGCTCAGCACCATCGCACTCAACACGCGCCACCCATGAATGGTTACAAAATGAGGTTCCTCGCTTCATTTCCAGCACACAATGGCCACCAAAATCTCCGGATACCAATCCATTGGACTATTGTGTCTGGAGTATTTTGGCACTAAAAAATACCAAGCTGTCGATCACCTCAAGCAAGCGCTTCGCTGGGAGTGGGCCAAAATACTGCAGAGTAACATTCGGGAACCGTGTGACGGTTTCATTGGCCGTTTGAAGGCCATAATTCGTGCCAAAGGTGACCAATTCGAACAAATCTAAACTTATTCTAAAATTTGTTGCTATTTCCGACATTTTTTGCTTTAATTAAATAAAATTTAAAAAAATGTAAAAATTATGGCGTTTGACTTTGTTGCAGTTTTTTATTTCACCCTGTTTCACCTGAGTTTTTCTCAATATGTATTTACAAATTGACACGGTAAGGCAAACCTTTAAATTAAAAACACGTAGAAAACTATATTTTTTACATCGAAATTTAAGATGCATGACATATTATTTTGTGTTTTCTTCCTCTTTCATGGATTTCACAGCAAAAAAGACTAAGCCCTGAATTCATCTCCTGTGCGATCTTTTTTTGTTCTGGAAAAAATACATATATAGAAAAGCTTTTATCAATTTTGCGGGTCGGTGTGTTGCAAACTTATGACAGTAATAAGTTAACGTTTAGTGTATACCACGGCCTATTTAATATGAGAGAGACTATGTTGCCTCGAGAATCATGTCCTCTCTTTGGACAACACATAGTGTTGTAGGGTACAAATGGGCTTTCTTCTTTCAAAAAGTAACAAGTTTTGTTTTTTATGATCGAATTAATGCATCAAAGACATAGAAGTATCCAGGTTCACCAATGTTTGATTTTGTGTGATTTTGGCCTTTACTCAATATTCAATATTTAGTCGATATTTTTGGTTCATTTTTTATTTTATTTGCCATGTGGCTCTAAAATTGTATTTTCACTATTGACATGCCTCCGTCATAAGCTGTTACTCTACATATTGTAGCCACAAACCATTTTCTCAAAATGCATTTTGTCAAATCTTTACATATTTATGCCTTTGATTGCATTCTCATAATCGGCGATTCAGTTTACAACAATTTTTTATTTTATAAATGTATGTAAAATATTTATTGAATTAAAATGATGTTCATATTAATACTTATAAAAGTGATATTAATGATTGTTTGCAATGGCAATTCGAAACTATAAACACAAAATTAGCAAACGTTAAGTACCAAGAAAACTGATAACAACAAATCATCGAGTGTATTGCAAAAGGGTTAGTTAATCGTATATTGTTATTTCATATTTGATCGGATATACAATGGGGAATAGTGGACCCTTTACATGGGACTAATGCTAATGAAACTGAATCAGATTTAGAAACATTATTAAATAAAACGGCACAAAATAAAGAATTTATATGATAATGGAGATTTTCTGTAATGACATTGTTATGACTTTAACTGTAGGTGTTACAGTTAAGCACAATAACATTACGGAGGGGAATGTGTCTTTATCGTGTATGCTGTCCTTATTGTTCGTCCTTGTCTTTGGCACCATGTTTCAGAATTCTGGTAAATTCGATATAATCGAAGAGACCACCCTTAATTGGAGCTTCACGATACATTTCATCGACCTGAAAATGTTGACATTCAATTAATACATAATATAATATGGAACTAAAGTAGTAATAAAGCCTACATCTTCGTCTGTAAAACGATCTCCCATTGTTGTGAGAAGTTCACGCAAACGATCTTCGGGAATTACACCAGTATTTTCTTCATCGAAACAACCAAAGGCATTTTTAATAACATCTTCTGGATCTGTGCCTTGTAATCGTTCGCCAAACAAAGTTAGGAACATTGTGAAATTAATGGGACCAGGCGCTTCGTTCATCATTGCTTCAAGGTACTCATCCGTTGGATTTTTGCCCAGCGACGCCAGCATATCGTGTAAATCCTCTTTCTCAACAAAGCCATCACGATTTTGGTCGATCATGTTGAAGGCTTCTTTGAATTCAGCAATTTGAGCTTGGTCAAACATGGCGAACACATTAGAAGTGGCACGTTGGGCACGCTTCTTGGTTGTGGCACGGCGACCGGCAGTTTTGCGAGAAGACATGTTTGATCTAAAAATATAGTTATAAAAAGATCGACATATTAAAAATTGAATATTGAAAATTAATATGAAGGCTAATATGTGAGAGTAACTGAAATTGCAGCACACTATTCTATTGATAGAATTAGTAAACCAAATGGGAGTGAAACGCGTACCTACGTTGGTGAAACATCAAATATTTACTTCAATATTTGAAAAACAATACGGCCATTAGCACAACGGTCCACAATAGGACAACTACATTGTTTGATATGCTCGAAACGGTGAGTATCTGGCAATTCGAAAAACATATTCCATGAGATCATCTCACGAACGCCTATTAGCAGATAAAAAATATGATAGAGATAAAGACTACACCTAGAGTATCATAGATATAACAATTAAAAATCCATAGTAGGAGGTTAATTGGAAAGCATTTAGCTATAGCGGCTACTGTCGACTAAAATTGTTATCGCCCCTTTGCTTGAGTGCAATGAAATGGAGAAAAATAAGCATTCATTTTGTTTTTTTTTACACCCTCCACTTTGGAAAGGAGGGTATATTAACTTTGTCATTCCGTTTGTAACATCCCTAAATATTCGTCATATACCACATAAAGTATATATATTCATAATCAGCATAAAATTCTAATCTGATTAACCGATATCCGTCCGTCTGTCTGTTGAAATCACGATACAGCCCACATTATTTGACGAAGAGCGTCAGCAGAACAATTTGTATTGTGCCTAGGATGGTTGGTATTGAAAATGAAATACATCGGTACACGTTTGGGTATAGTCCCCATAAACCGGTAACTCCTGATATTCGGTATTTTAACGATTTTTGCCACATTTTCCACGGATTTGTCTAAAAATTGGTATTTGTAGATCATAATGGTTTCCAGTTCGTGTGGCGAGACATTGTATGTATAGGCCCACGTTTTGGTATGGCCCCCATATAACGGTACCACCCGATATTCGGTATTTTGATTAGTTTTGCCAAATTATTTCAAGGATCTGTATAAAAATTGGTATTTGTTGGTCATAATGGGTTCTAGCTTCGGTGGCGAAACATTATATGTAAAGGTCCACGTTTTAACGATTTTTCCACATTTTTTACGGATTTGTCAAGAAAATGGTAGTTGTTGGTCGTAATGGGTTCTAGCACCGGTGGCGAAAAGTTGTATGTATAGGTCAACTTTTTGGAATAGTCCCCATATAACGGTATTTTGACGATTTTTGCCACATCTTTTCGCGGATTTGTCACGTTTTTCTATAGCGCACATATAACGATACCCACCGCTATTCGGTATTTTGATAATCCTAGTCACATTTACGCACATAGTTGTTTCCAATCTGGTATTTTAGAAGATTTGATAGATGACAATCCTTGAAGTATAAAAGTGTCCATAGAGGTTCCCGTTTTGGTATGGGTTTTTGATATATTTTAACTGCATTATCCAGACGGTCTTACTGGTATCTAAAGTTTAAAGTGAAATACGATTGAATTTACATACTTTTATATAAAAATTTTCCTTTACCCTAAGGTGGCCAGTCATTATCACTCGGTTATTTAATCCATGACTATCCCACCAGACTGTTAACAGTCTGCGACTGCTTGCACTCACACTCTGTGAGGAAAATAAGATATTTTGCGTTGTGAGTGCGGTTGCCAGATACAATGTAATATATGTAAAATAAATTGTAATTGAATGGCATGATTGAGTCTATATTCATTCTTCACGACGCCACAATCTGATAAAAAGGTAACACAACGCATGTTGTAATCATCGTTTCATTTGTTTTCATCTTATTCAGTCCAATATTTCCAAGCCTACTGTTGAAGTGATGAATGGAGATCCTTTTTATGACTCCTAAGAGGCTCACCAATTGAATGATTCGTGCGATGAAAATCGGTGTACAATTACTGATAGTATCTACTAGATCTAGAAGGAACATGGATGCTAATAGATGCGATTAGGAAATTAATTTAATATTTTTAGTATTGTCAGTGAGTTCAACGTAATGCCTCTGCTTTTTAGTGTAAACCCACTTCTTTATTTTCATTGAATTCTCTTTAAAAATGTAAAATCGAAAACGGAATGCGCTTTTTAGATCTATTCAGAAGCAAAGTAGTTATACGGTATTGAAAGAGCCTTCAAATAGTTCTAAAACGATTTCCATATCTGTGTATGCGATTGTTTACGGTTGCATACGTAAGCCGAATGCTATTGCACTTAGTGGTGTATAGCACCCAAGAACCATTTAAGTGAATTTACCAAAAATAGTAAACAATTTTCGGAAAATTATCAGCAATCTGTGTCAACAAAACACGAACACACACACACTCTCATCCAAGTGATCGACCCTGTTACAAATACAACCGTTTTAGCTCAGTGAGTCATAACTTCAATTCACTGGCGCACTCTGGCAATGAGCAGTTTCTTTGCTTCGAGCTGTGTCTGTCGTCTTTTTTGTATTCGCAAAAGATGTTTAACATTACTTACATGTCGTCGTATTCAACAATTTCGATGATTAAACCATATATGGTGAAAACAATATGAGCAATAACGTTCGAAACCTGGGATATATAATATGTAGTTGAATATCCAAAAACATGCCGGGAATATATACAAATGGCCAATAAAACATAAATCATTTTTTCTTCTGAAAATCGCATTTCATAAGAACTCCTTTGTTCCAAATTAACACTATTCTGTTGTTGAAATGAATAATTTTCAATTAATTAAATAAGCAGCAACCCTTCTTTATTTATGTTTTCTGTTTTCTCTACACATCACCAGTAAAACTTTAATACTTGAAGGCACAAAGAACGCTTTTATTGCAATTTATATTATTTCCTTAATTGTATTTTACTTACTTGCTATTTGTAATAAATTTGTAAGAGAATCGAAAAACAAAATTAAATATCAACTATTAATTATTAACTATTTAATTAATTGTGGGTGAAGATTTGTTGGACTTGTTTGTCCGATTGGTACTAAATAATATTCGAATAGGGCACTGGGAGTGGAGCAGATAATGAAGCCGAACGATTCCTCGACGACGGCGGTGTCCCATAAAATGTATGGCTATCGGCGATGGACAGCTGCGATTTCGACTTGTTGGCGGTTGAAGTTTAATGCAGCAGAAATTAGTAACAATAAAGCTGGAAATCAGATTTTTTAAAATATCGAGGAATATTGAAAAATGTTAATTATGCGCGCATTTTTTCACAGTGACTACCAGTATGGAAGACAAAATTCACGGAGGAGTCTGAAAATATGTGTGGCGGCTTGACGCCGACACTTACTCTATTCTGTACTAATCCATTAGAGAAATAATCGATTTTTGTTATCGACTTTTTGGTGCACATTTGTATTAGGTCTCTAGTTACTTTCTCTTCTAGACTTGCCCAGCAGCCTATTTTTTCCAACATAAATTTCAATTTTGCGCGCATATTTTCACAGTGACTACCAGTATGGAAGACAAAATTCACGGAGGAGTCTGAAAATATGTGTGGCGGCTTGACGCCGACACTTACTCTATTCTGTACTAATCCATTAGAGAAATAATCGATTTTTGTTATCGACTTTTTGGTGCACATTTGTATTAGGTCTCTACTTACTTTCTCTTCTAGACTTGCCCAGCAGCCTATTTTTTCCAAAAAAAATTTCAAGTTCATACATGCTCTGCCGCAAGACCTGCTAGAACATGGTTGAACTAAGAAGGTTAAGTCATGCTATATTATGTTTACAATTTTTTCAAAATATTACCCTTGACAACATCTCATTGTCAAAATAGGAACCTTTTTCTATTCAATGAAATTTGACAAGGTAAATTACAGAAAATGCAGAGATGGAAAGTCTTATTTGACATACACATACAAACTGTGTATATGTTTTGACAGAATAAGCGTACAAAGGGAGAAAATAGTATTTAGGGGTAGCTTCGTTCTATACAACAATCGTAACAACAACCACATACAAATTTGTTTTTGTACGTAATATAAGTGCCAGAGTTATGTGTCCAAAAATGTAAACAAAATAATTAATTTTCAATAAATTATTTTAATTTTAAAAATATACGTTATTGGTATTTGGATTGTTAAATTGAAAATGCAGAAGAATAGTTATTGACCTATTTATTTTTAATGCTTTCACATCATTCCCCTGAATGTATAGTTGTTAGCTGTTGGCCCTAGTCTCTCAACACTTCAAGCAATCGCTAGAAAATCGTGAAAAAGGCAACATCCCTCTCAAGTTGAAACCAAACAGCATACATACATAAAGTATTCTACATTTTGCAATTTTAGGAAACATCATGGCATGGGTAGAACAAAGCTACCCCCCAAATATTTTTTTTTATTTTTGTGCCCTTATTCTGTCAAAACATATACACATTTTGTGTATGTGTGTGTATTGTTTTGAATAAAAAATACAATAATTTGAAATTATTTCAAATTTGGTTGCTAAATAAATGCAAATTTTCGACCTAAATGGATAACAAATTGTACAATTTTGCGATATCACTGTATTGTCCTACTATTTTAGATTCCATCTTGTGGGATAACCCCGAAATTACATTCTTGTTTCGCGGTTTTTTCCCAATATAAGAATTTTGTTAAAAAAAATAAATAAACAAAGCCTACTGTTGCATATTTTAAAGTCTATTTGACACCATAAGACTCCAGCACAGATTTGCATTTTTCTAGTTTCTTTGAAGTTGAGCAACCTTTCTTTTTGAGCCATGGGAAACATTAAATATACGAATACATTATATAACGTGGAACAGCAACCTTAAACGCAAAAAAAGTTTCCGAACCATCGCCTTTGTAGTTTTCTTAAATACACCGGGATTTTTTCTATTATTAGGAAAAAAATATGTTCACATTGCCCTGCAGTGAAATTTTATATGAAAAAGGGGTATACCTATTGTATATCAAAAACGTCATTGTAAACAAAAACGTCATATCGACTTTGACACCAGTATTACTATAGAGTCAAATCAGCTGGGACTTGCTTTTGCCTGTAATAATTATACCATGTATGCATTAAAAATTATTTTATTTATTGAGAAAATGCATACATATATAGAAACTGTATATGTGTTTTGCAATAAACAATTGAATTCGGGTGATTACTATGATCTAGTCATGTGTGGTGGAAGAATACTGGTAGCAGCATCAACACATATGGTCGTACCATAAACTGTCAAAGCTTTTATGAAAGGATAAATGTTGAATGAAAAATTACTCAAATTAGTTAAAATTGTTTAAAACCCCACATCATAACAACCCCATTACAATTATGGGGATTATAACCCATTTTTTCCTTCATAATCCTCATAATTGTAATGGAAATGGGGATTATGTCCAAAGAAAAAAACTCCATGGTAGAATTAAGAAGGTTTTTTTCAAAATTTTCCTTTTGACAAAATCTCATTGTCAAAAAAAATTATTTTGACAAAGATAAATTCAAAATAAAAACGTAAATTTTGAATTTGAAAATATGAGAACAATTTTTCTTTGCAAAAAAAAAAACAAATTTTGGCCGGAATGGAAAATTTTTTATTGTTCCCAAGCATGTGACTCATATACAATTTTTGGGACAGAATTCCGTTTTTCATATCCAGCGGGTCGACATTGTCCCTTTTCACATCTGATCGAGATCTGGTGAAAATACCTACGTGAAACCCCCAAGTTTTTCTTATTGTAATAATTGTTTAGGTTGCTGCCCTTCTGTCCATGAGTTTTCATCCGCTGCGGTATGTTCAAAATTTTGGAGTATTCGGGATCCCATGTCAAAGGAAGTACTGGTTTATCCCTGAAAAAATGTATGTTGTTTTAGTCAGGATAAAAAAAGCAGACCTTCGGTGAAACTTTCCAATTTATGGGACAACTTTTTGGCGAATCATGGAAAGAGCCAATTACGTAATACCTTTAACCATTTTGAATATTTATTACAAACAATTAATTTCACAGAATTCATTGAAAATTTGAATGGTTTACAAATGTACATAAACAAATCTTGTTTTTGTTGTGACAGTTCATATGAACGATTGTATTTGACAAGCTCAGTTACAGAAAATGCAAAGATGGGAATGCTTATTTGAAATGACTTCACCTTCTTGATTCTACCATGAAAAACTCGGACATAATCCCCATATAATCCCCGATTTTTTCTTTCATAACCCCCATAATGGAATTGTGTCCAAGAAAAAATCGATCATAATCCCTATGATTGTAATGGGAAAGGGGATTGTGTCCAAGCCAAAATCGGTCATAATCGCCATAATTGTAATGGGATTGTTATGATGTGTGTTAACGCGAACCTAAGTTTTCTAAACTTTAAACTTTTTGCAAGTAGCCGGCCTTTTGCTGTGGTTAGAGGTTGGCGTCATGTTAAGTATAATTGCCCTGCAGTGAAATTTTATATCAAAATAGTGTATACTGGATATGCATTTTTGAGGACGGTATGATAACATTTACATATATCTAAAAAAACTTGATGTTTTATTCCTTTTTCGAAATTTTCTCTTAAATTAAATAATGATTGAAAAAGTGTAAATTATTTTGTTGTATTTGCTCTTGTTGTTTTCAAGTAGAAATAAATATATACTTTTTGTTACCGGATAATGGATGTTGCCGATAATCAATTAAAAATGTAAACAAATTGAACGATAAATTTTTAAATGTGAACACATCTTCTATTTTTACTAGCGACATCTATTGGTTTGCAGAGTAAACGCCTCAATTGTCAGTACTACATGGAAATGGAACAGCACTACACGTCAATTTATTAAAGTTGACAACACCGCTTTCCAATTAGAATTGAGACGATTTTTGTTGTTGTTTGTGGGTCGAGGAGACAATTTACAACAATACTGTCGTGAGCGCCACCACCACAACAAACAAATTCTAATTGACAAGTTTTTAAATTTGCATGTTTTTTGTGATATTCAGTTCTGTGGTACAAACTTTTAAATTCTATATAATCTCCCCTATTGAAGACTCATATTGAAATTACGCGACGAAAATCTCGGGAAAATTCATTGCGCCGAACAGAAAAGTTTTCTTTTTTTTTATTATACACAACAAACAAACGCAAGACGCAAAGAAACGCAAGACGGTGGTAACTTGGCTAAAAAGAAAAGATAGAAGAGTGGCAGTGGTGAAGTGGAGGAATGTGAATGCAACAAAAGGAAAGGCAAAAATAAATAATAAGTCAAAATTTGAAGGTGCGCATTTCTTTGACAGTGAACAGAAGAATTTGCGAGGAATCCGAAGAAGGGCGGACGTAAGAAACGTAAATAAAAGACTGAGATCTGCATGGATTTAATTGTGCTTGACTGAGTTTTTGAAAAATATAATCCGAATTTCGAATTTTAGTGAAAAAAGTATAGTTTTGATAAAACAATCGACAATCCGGAAGCGAGTTACCATTGTCTGCCTGTCTTCCGGTCGGTGACATCGAAAAAATAAAAAAAAAACATATGAAATCAACATAGACTGCATTGTATACGCATTCATTTTGAATTCGGAGAGAAATACCAAACAAAAGGACTGAACGGATCAGAAAACCCATCCAATTATCGTGAAATTCATAAAATTTAATTCGAACAGTGAAAAGCATCTTTAATGCTCTCATACGTCATACCTGCTCCCCAGGAAACATCGGCTGCGAATGGCCGTTCGTCGAACCGAACTGAAGGCGATGCAGAGAATGGTGGTGGTAGTATAACCAACAGGGAACCAGTGCCTTCTCCACCTCGTTCTAGCCTAAGTCTCAGACTCAACTCCCAATACATGGCCGGAACAGAGTCCCACACAACAGAGGTGGATGCCCTGCTGGCGAATGTGGCATCTGGCCATGAGTTCTGTGACGACGAGCGCACCCATTTACTGAACGACACAAACCACACATCATCTCCGGTACGGGTGAAGCGTCAGAACAGTAATGGCAGCAACAACAATAACTCTTTTAGTTTGAACAACAATGCCAATAACACCAGCAGCAATACCGACGTCACCACTAACAATAGAAGATGTAGTGGCGATGGTGGAGGAGGTGGCGGTGGCGGTGGCGGTGGAGTAAATGTGGCGGGCAACAATTGTGGCGACGATGTTGTCAATGTTAATGTTTGCAGCTCCGTAGAGGGAACATCTTCGGATGATGGTCCAGATTCCCACCACACCACTGTTACCCATACTACTGAAAAGCCACCTGCACAGCAAGATGAATCC